CTTTTTTGATCTCCAACAAACAACACCACCACCTAAAGTAAAGACATAACCAGTGGTAGAACAGGAATCACCTGACAAAGTGTTCCAATCTGCATCATAAAAGCCTTCAAGCACAGCAGGATATTTTTTATAGAACAAACCACAATTTTTCATTCCAATTAAATATCTCATAACTCTTGTTATAGCATGCCAGTATTCATTACCTGGCTTGCTTGTAAACCTTCCAAGTACTCCTACTACATATGTAATATCAAGGCTAGTGCAATCAGCCACATATCTCAAACTTCCGATTATACTAGCATATTCCTTTTGATTTGTTACATCATTTTCACTTTCAACAGGAAATAAGTGAACACTTGAATCAAAAGGAGTAGCAACATGCTTGCAATCGTGAAAGTTATATTTTTTTAAAATTTTCTCAACATAAAGTGACTGGTCAAGGAAAATCCCCTCACATGTTCTTGTTATTTTTATTCCAAGAATAAAATTTGCCTCACCAAGATCTTTCATATCAAAATGGCTTCTAAGAACATTTTTGGCTTCATCAATAACATTCATGTTAGAGCCAAAGATCAACAAATCAACAACATATACGCAAATGATCACATGTGAATTATTTCAAGACTTATGATATATGCACTTATCACACTCATTTGTTTTAAAACCATTTTCAATCATGCAGGAATCAAACTTTTCATGCCATCATTTTGGTGCCTGTTTCAAGCCATATAGGGATTTAGTAAGTTTACATACTTTGTTATCTTGGACTGCTTCAACAAAACACTCAGGTTGGTCCATATATATTTCTTCATTTAGGTCTCCATTTAGAAAAGCAGTTTTTACATGCATTTGATGAATTTGCAAATCAAAAATTGCAGCCATAGAAACTAAAAGTCTAATGGATATAATTCTTGTTAACGGAGAAAAAGTAACAAAAAATTCTAGGCATTCTAGTTGTTTAAAACCTTTTGCAACTAGCCTAGTCTTGTATTTATCAATAGAATCATCCGGTTTCAACTTTTTCCTTAAGACCCATTTGCAACCAATTGTTTTACAACCCGGTGGTAAATCAACTAACTTCCAAGTTTTATTAGAAATTAGAGATTTCATTTCATCATTTACAGCCTCTTTCCAAAAAATATAATCATGTGAAGATAATGCTTCTTTCAAAGTTAGAGGGTCATTTTCAACATTAAACACATAAAAATCAGGACCAAAATCTTTTTCTACTCTAGTTCTTTTACTTCTTCTTAACTCAAAATCAACAACTTCTTTATTTTTCAAAGTTGAAGTAGAAGAACTAGGTAGTGACAAAATATTTTGTTCAATCCTTTGACCCCCAATATTTTTAGTATCAAAAGGAAATTTATTTTCATGAAAAATAGCATCACCAGATTCTATTACAATATTATCTTCAAGATTAAAAAATCTATAGGTTGTTCTATTTGAAGCATAACCAAGAAAAGCACAAGTAGTAACTTTCTTACCCAACTTTGTATCTTGGGATCCATTAGCCTCACAAAGGCTAGGCAACCCCAAACTCTTAGATATCCCAAACTTGGCTTGTAACCTTTCCACAATTCAAAAGGTGTCAATTTAGACTTTTTATGAGGCACACGATTCAACACATAACAAGCAGTTAAGATAGCTTCACCCTAAAAATTTAAAGGTGCATGTGACTAAATTAGCATGGCATTAGTCAATTCAACCAAAGTTCTGTTTTTCCTTTCTGCTACTCCATTAGACAAAGGAGAGTAAGGAGGAGTAGTATGATGAATTATTCCCAATGATCTAACAAAAGAATTAAACTCATTTGATTCATATTCACGGCATCTATCGCTTCTAATTCTTTTTATTTTTCTTCCAAACTGATTTTCAACCTCATTGAGATAAGTTTTAAAATTTTCAAAAGCATCACTTTTATTTTTCATCAAGTAAACATATGTAATCTTAGAAAAATCATCAATGAAAGTGATAAAATATTTATTACCTCCACGAGTTAGAATTTCACCAAGTTCACAAATATCAGTATGAACTAATTCTAACAAATCAGTTTTTCTTTCAACTTGAAAATGATGCCTTTTAGTGATCTTGGATTTACTACAAGCCTCACACTTTACAAAATTCTTTTTAACCATTGGGATTAATCCTAAACTACTCATGATTCCAACATAACGATCGTTAATAGGACACAAACGAGCATGCCAAAAATTAGTAGAAGAAAGCATATAAACAGAAGTAGAAGTATTATTCATTTCAACATTCAACTTAAACATCCCATCACATGCATACCCCTTCCCCACAAAAATACCTTTCTTCACTATTACATATTGATCAGATTCAATAATCTGTTTAAATCCTGCTTTATTAAGAAGAAAACTAGACATCAAATTTTTTCTCATAGAAGGAGTATATAGTACATCTTTCAATGTTAATATCCTTCCAGAAGTAAAACACAATTCAACATCTCCCTTTCCAAGCACTTGAGTAGTGTGAACATCACCAAGCATGATGGTTTTGGGCTCCTCAAAATGAGTATAATTTTTAAACCAGTCTTTGTCATAACAGACATAACGGTTTGCACCAGAATCAGCCAACCATCCATCAACATTCTCAACCATGTTTATGTTGGTAATCACCGCCACAAAAGGTTCTTCGGTAACGTTTGCATGAGGGTTAGGACCATGTTTCCGGAATCTGCAAAATCGAGCCACAAACAAAGCATGGTCCCTGTTCTTGAACTTGGTGATTTTCACCATTATTTTTCTTGGGAGGTCTACCATTATTTTTATTGAATTTTTTCTTCTTAGGCTTTAAAGAAGTATTTTTGTGAGTTTTAGGAGTAGCATTATTCGAAGTAATTAAATTTACCTTCGACGTGATGTTGTTCTCTTCTGTTTGTAAAAGTGCATCTTGGGCCCTTGCTTCTTCTTCCATTCGGATTTTCATTATCAAAGTTTCAAGAGAGGTTTCCTTTTGTTTGTGGCACATAGTTTTTTGAAATTCCTTCCAAGAAGGTGAAAGTTTATCCATTATGCCACAAACAATAATGTTATCTCCAATTTTAACCTCTTCGGACCTAAGCTCTCCAACAATCATGATGAAGTCTTGAGCTTGATCTACCACTGATTGTTGTCCACCATTTGAAAACGAAAAAATCTACTAGCTGCATATTTTTTCACTCCAGCCTCTTCGGTATCATACTTACTCTGCAATGCCTTCCAAATTTTCTTTGCACTAGAGTAAGTTCTATCATAATAATCATAGAAATTATCAGATAGACAATTAAGAAGATAATACCTACACTTATAGGAATCACCATCATACTTTTCCACTTTCTCTAGATGAGAAATAGTATTTCATCATTATTCATAGTGGTGATGTCGTCTTTGTTTGAATTCTTCTCAGTTAATACATAAGAAACATTGAAAAGACTTAAGTAGAAAAGTACTTTACCCTTCCATCTCTTGAAATGGTTACCACTGAATCGAAATGGCTTGTTAAGATCTCCCATCTTGACTTCCGCAGTTTTTTCAATTGTAGCCATCTTAGAATCTCCTTAAAATTGTTAGTGAAAAACTTACAAGATAATAAAACTGCAAGATTACAATTGAAAATAAAATGAAGAAATTAATCTCTTCAGGCTGAGGCGCGGATATCTCGCTTTCTTTAAGGAGATTCAAGCCCACTACAACAAATATTTTCACCGGTTCAGCAGTAATCCTCTTTGACTTGTCCCCTCCAGGATACAACAATTTTCACAAAGTATAACTCAACAACTCTGGACAAGAGTTGAGTCCAAAGCTCCACAAAAAAGAACACCTCCCTTCAACTAATAAGAGCTCTCTTTTAGACTAACTCTTTAACTCTTTGTTTTCTCTTGTGCTTTTTGTGTATCTAAAATCAAATGAAGACTACCACTATTTATACTACAAGAAGTCTTCCTAGCAATGAATAGGAAGATAAAGGAGGTAGTAAATAGTGAAGATAATGGTCTTAGGAGTTTCATAGGTTACATAGGTTACAATGGGAGTTACATAGGTTACAAAGAGTAATGGAGGAATTAAGAATGAAATAAAGTGATAGATAACCAATGTTAATGGATGATGTAGAAGTTACCCATTCCAATGTTTATTGAAATTTTTTTATCTCTACAATGAATTCAACCAATAAAGCCAAAAGTAATGACATTACATGGCTACCAAGTCAAAAATGAATAGCATGATTAAATTGATAATTCAAAACACAAATGCCTACCAATGTTCATTCTTATAACTCCAAAATAAAACAATTTAATATGTTAAATAATAATATTAAAATGCTAATAATCTAACATCTTGTTTTTATATGATGAATTTGCTTAAATTAAATGATTTTTGGAATTCAGTTTGGATTGATTATCAATTTTTCCAGCAGGTGATTTAGTGCGGATGACACTTAGGACAATCTAAATCATAATATTTACGTTACTAAAAATATTACTATTTATCTATAGAAAAGTACTTATTCAATAGGTATTGTCGTAAATATATTTTAATTAAATCACTAAAAAGTTAGAGTATTTCATAGGATAAAATTATAAAAGTGTAGTGTGTTTCAATGAGAATCCATTTTCATTGAAACATCGATAACGTTCACATTTGACTTTTCTCTTTTTTCAATAATGTTTGCACACACATAACACAATTGATAAGACCCCAAAGCATCGAAAAGTCATCACTCATTTGAGCATTGAATTAAACAAACTCCATGCAAAACGACAAACAATAATTTTCCCTTCACCAATTCCCAAAACCCTTTTAACACTATTCTATTCAAACTCTACTCTTGGATTCTTTGTCCTAATATCTTTCCCTCTAAACTTTTCCTTTTGGCCTCTTGTTTTCTTTTCCATGATACCCTACACAAACACCTAAGTCAAAACCCCTACAAATACATATCCTTCATTCATTTCCCACAAATTATTATTATCATCTCTTGAAAAGAGAAAATAAATAAATATGGTGCAACTTGAAAATGGTACAAATTTTTCCATCAATGACAATGTTGATGTGTTGATAGTGATATTGCAAAGGCTAGATGGTGGTTCCTTAGGTGTAGCTGCATGTGTTTGTAAGTTATGGTGTTCCATCACTAGAAATGATTCCCTTTGGGAGCACCTTTGTTTTCGCCATGTGTCTCCTCCCCCTGAGGGTGTGAGGAGGGTGGTTTTGGCTCTTGGAGGGTACCGAAGACTTTATATGGTGTGTGTTAAGCCGGTCTTGGACCGGCTTAGAAAGTGGAAGAAAGGAACGGGGTTTGATGAATCAGAGGTAATGAGAAGAGTTTGGATGCAACATGAAGTGGAACTTTCGTTATCGTTGTTTTGTGTGGATTATTATGAAAGAGTGTTTTTGGGTGGCGGAGGTGGTGCAGCATCATCATCGCTTATGTTCCTGTGCAATGCCGTAAATATTTAGGAAAAGAAGGATGTTGAGTTAAAAATACTTTATCTTTGCTCTTATTTTTTTATTTATGGTAATTCGAGATTTTTACCATTTATTGTGTACTACTTATTAATAAATACAAAACTATTTAATTAGATTATTGTTTGTGTATTACTTCTTTATATTGTGGGTCGATCCATGTAGACTGACCAGACAACCCACCCTATATATCACTTATAAAGGTACATAATTCGTTGTTCTTCCTTTGCTATTTAATCGTACATTGATAGTAAAGTGAATTTGGGTTACGTTGTTGCTTTTCGATTTTATAGTACTGTATGGATGATTCTTTATTTATTTTTTGAGTAGTTAGAAGAATGCCAATAGTGAATTGTTGTATTATTTCCATCCTTCTTTTTCAATTAATTTTCTATTAGTTATCGTCGTCTTCTCAAGCATATAATAAGAGGCTTTTCTCTATGTAATATTATAATTACTTTTACTTGGTTTCGATTTTGGATAACCAACAATTGCCTGAGGTACTATAGCACAATGACTAAATCCAAAATGAATTAGATTCCATAAATTTGCATACCATATTACTGTATTAGAGTCAAAATTTGCATACAACATCTTTGATTTGCTTGTTCTTATTTGTTAAGCTAAGCGTTTACCAAATATATACTCTCTTATTACTATTTAATTTCATACTCCAATAAACTTTCACGTATAAATTAATAAAGAAGTACAAAGGCAAACAATTTGAAAATAGAAGTCAATACATGATGGATCATGTCCTTGATTATTATCAGAATAAGAATAGCCCCAACGCGGGTGCTATTTTAAAAGTGTTTTGTATAAATATATATTTTTTTAACTGATCACTTAAAAGTTAAAAGTTAAAGTCAAAAGTAAGCAAGCTACCCAATTTTTGACTTTTGCTTTTCTTTTTTTTTTAACTCCACCTGTTCTTATTTATATTTTGTTCTTAATATTTATCATTTCAGAATTTAATATACAAATGATATTTTTCTTCCTATTTAATACTTCGAGAGTTATTGGCCATGTTGAAAAAATTATATATTTGTCTAACATAGAAAACAATAATGAATTTATTTATGTTTATTGAACAAATTAGTTAATCAAAATAAATTAAATTATGTTTATTGATTGAAAACTTGACTTCAATAAAATATTGAATAGGGTTTGATGGTAAATTTATCTAGTTTCTCAAGAAACGTGAAACTTAAATAATAACAACTAAATAGGAATGGAGTGAGTACTTTTTAAGCCTAAAGTAAGCTTTTAAACTCTTTTATCTTGGAAAAATTACGTAAATTGGTACATTTTAATAAATAATTACTGATTTTAGCGATATTTTTTATTTATTACTATTTATAGCAATATTATGTTAAATCTGCAATATGAATTAAAAGTGAATTATGTATGCAATATATATGAATTATAATTTTTTATTTAAAATATGTCATGTTTGTTTGGTAAAAATTTGATACATTGTATTATAAATGTATTAAAATGTGTGATAAATATATCATACATCATTAAAACTTGTATTATATGTGAATAATAAATTGTTCTTTATAATATATATTAAACTTGTATTATAAATGAATTAATACTGATCAAGTGGAAAAAAATATTATTGCTATAAATGGTAAATATTTTGTTATTACAGTACATTTATGTAAGTTTCCCTTTTATCTTTGTCAAACACCTCTAAAAATTAAAAAAATGCATAAAAACTAAAACACGAAAATATAAATCAATTCAAACAACCTCTACTATTCACAAGTCTAACATAAATAACAACTTTGTGCAAATATATATACTTAAGACTATGTCACTGAGTTTATCACATAGTTTATGCCAACTTCTTGACTCTCTCAATCTCAAGATTGGATTCTTATGAAGTTATCCCAATCTAGAACTCCAGGCGATTTCTACAATAATTCTACTTGAAGCACTTTCTTTAGCTTGTTGAGCATGCTTTCTTTTCCTACTTCAAGTATTTAATTTGTTAAGCTTGCTTTATACTCTAGGCGCACTCCTTAATTTATGGAAAAAATTACGCGAAAAAGTAAATATATACTAGTTAATTAGCTAATATAGCTATAGTTTAAATTAATTAGGTCTCACGTCTTAATTTTAGCTTTAACTATGTCACTTGTCCTCTTTTATACATATACAAATACAAATTAATGATACACATGTATATACAATTTTACAACACGTATATAAATTCAATTAGTCTCTCTCCATTCCTGGCCTTTCTCGCTCGCCTTTCTCCTCTCTCCCAATCTCGCTCGCCTCTCTCCTCCCTCTCCCAATCTCTCTCGTCTTGCACGCCTCTCTCCTCCCTCTCCCAATCTCGCTCGCTAGTTATACAAATTCATATGTATACCAGTTACATATACACAATTATTTGACATATATACATATATAATTCGATAAATATACATATACAATTTTTCTCACTCCACTCTATCCTCTCTCACTCTCCTCTCTCCTCTCTCTCCCCAATCTCGCTCACTACTCTCCTTCATATAACATGTAGTGATGAATCGTTAATAGCAAATTATTGTTATGGAGCGTAATTAAGTTATTTTTGAGTGGTTATATGCAAAAATTTCCTATTTATTTAGCTTTTCTTCTCTAGTTAAATCACACTTTTTAGTTTGTTGAGCCACTTAATGCTTCTTACAAAGCAAAAGCCCATACAAGAAATATGAAAATACACCAGCTGACCATAAAATATGCTTACATTTTTTAGCCCAATTTATAAATTTTACTAAAATGGCTATTTAATTTGGCATTTTCTTTTGTATAACTTACCTAAATTTCATAATGTAAGAAATAAATTACATTTTATCTTTACTCTTTTTAAATTTATAAAAATTCCTTACAAATAATGTTATTCGGATACGTAAAAAATAAGTCGAATACGTTAAATAAGATACATTAAAACAAATTCAGTTACACTTTTAAAGGAAAGAGAATATAAAATTGATTGTTAGTTTCTCAAATCACGCTCATTTAATTGATTTCAATCTGTTTAAAATCTTATCAGATTTAATCAAATCAAAATTTAAATTTTCTTCTCCAATTCTCCTCCAAATCTATCCACCTTCAATTTAAAATTTAAATTTTTTCCTCTCAATTCTATTCCAAATTCGTATGGTTTCAAACAATTCAAATTTTCATCTTTCAATTCTTTTTCCAATCATAATAGATTTTAAAAGTTGAAAACAATAGCCGATACATGAATACGTTCAAGAATCTGAAAAATCAAGGTGAGTTATGAATGATACATAAGTGGTATTTTAAATTTCTTCTTCCAATTCATCGAAGATCCTTTCAATTTTGATTCAAAATCACAAAAACAATAAGAAGGTACATCATGAATTTTTTGATTTTGTTAAGACAATGAAGAATCTGGATAAAAATCTGATATTCAAAAATCTGGAAAAAATATGAGTCTCGATTTGCAATATATAAAATAGATCAGAGTTTTAATTGTATAATAAAATAGATCTGACAATCAGAGGTATGAAACTACAAATATTGTGTTGTTAATTCGATTTTTATTTATATTTTTTAGATGACCATACAATCGTGATACATTAGTATTTGTGTTTCTTGTATAAATTGATAAGTACTATACTCCTATTAATTAGATACATTAAATAAATAATCTTGGAATTAAAGATCAACAAGTTATTGTGTGATACATGTAATATTAATTTAAAATATTGTTTCATTACCAAATATCTAACATGATACATTAATATTTGTATATCTTGTTGTTTTGTGGAATACTATACTTTATAGATGATACATTATGCATATATTTTGTTGTAAAAGTATCAAAATGTTCAAGAATGGGGTATGTATCATATTAAAGTTATATTTTGTTCATGATATAAGTATATAAGTTTATTTGTTTGATTGTTTGTGATTGATGCATAGAAATAACTGTTTTACAGAATGTATCACTAATTTCTTTAATGTTAACAGTTTTTTGAATCATCAGAGTGTCTTTATTCAGTCTATGATTCTGGAAGAAACATATGATGTTTGCCTTGAAAGATAAATATGCAATTGTGGAAGATTTAAAATTGATCACATACTTTTTTCTATAATTTTTTTTTGTTGATAATAATGTATCTGATACAATAAGGTTGTGAAAGAATAGTGTGTGTAAGCTGAAATAAAGTGTATCTATAAAGGTTTCATTTAGTAGTTGATTATGTATTTGATATAATAAGATTATTAATGTTTACGTATTTATGTATCAAGATATTTAATTTGATACATAGTGTTTTTATGAAAATAAACGAGATACATTCAAAATTAAGTATGCGTGGAACAAACAACGGTTGTAGCAATGATGTATCGAATCCATAACAAGACTATTTAAGATTCAGAACAAATGAGATACATTGTGTCTTTGGCAGTAATAATCGTGTAATGACTGATCCAACTATTTCTTTCTCTTTTTTTTGAACTTGTATTTCAATGTAGATTTAAAATTCGAACATGTATAAATATTGCAAATCAAATACGACTTTCTAGTTTTTGATTTATAACAAAAGATTTCTAACAATATGAATGAAATAAGAAAAATATTATTTAATAATAAAATAATAAAATATGAAAAGAAACCCTAATATAATTAAATAATAAATATTCTTCCATATTATATAGTAATTTGTGATTGATAAGGTATATCAATCAATTGATTTTTTTTCTATTAGTTGATTTTTATTTTTTTTGTTATTATTTTTCCTATTTCTTTCTCCACGTTATTCTCAAATCTCAATCATTTGTTATTCTTTTTTTAAAAAAAATCATAACCAAAAAGTAAAAGAGTTTTTCTAAATCTTGATTCAACATATAATTTTTTTATGATTCAATGAATTTTAATTTTTTTGCTTTTTTTTATAAGTTTTTTGCTTTTATCTTATTTTTTCATTTTCTTAATCTGATCTTTTTTTTTAGAAATAACGATTGATTTTTATCAATTTTGATGTTAGTTTTACTTTTTATTATTATAATATGAAATTCTATAGTTGAGAAATAAAAATTATTTTCTGAAATTTTGATTCCATTTTTGATATGGTATAGGGAGTGATTT